TGTGCAAGGTTGTCAAGTGTGCCAACGGAACAAAAGCACCACACAACCTCCCCTTGGTCTATTGAAGCCCTTGCCTATCCCAACAGGTCCTGGAGACTGTGTCAATAGATTTCATGGACACTAAGGTGAAAAGAAGGAATGGAAAAAGCCAAGTTATGGTAATTGTTCATAGGTTTAGCAAGTTTGCTGTTTTTGTAGCACTGCCTACGGCAGCTAAAACTGACTTAGTAATTTGGGAATTCTTTGACCATTGGGTGAAAGACTACGGACATCCCTTGACTATCGTTAGTGACAGAGACTCTCGGGTCACCAGTGAACAACGACAGTAACTAATGAGTGTCTATGGCTCTAAGTTGACAATGTCGTCAGGCCGACACCCTGAGACAAATAGGCAGACTGAACAAATGAACAAGATTTTGCAACAGACATTGCGTATGTACATTCGTCCCGATCAGATTGACTAGGATGAACATTTGCCCAAAGTTGCTAGTGCCTATAATAACTTTGTGCACTTGTCTACTCGCAGAACTCCAATGACATTTGGGATGGAGTCCTCGCAGACTTATAGATTGTCTAAACCCAGATAGAGTCCATAAACTTCCCGCCACGAACCAAAGAGTTCGCAGTGCAATATCAGAAGGATTTAGAAAATGTAAAGGAAAACATAATAAAAGCACAGCATCAAATGATCGAACAGGTGCTGTAGGAGATTTGGTTTGGGTAAAATCGAAAGAATTTATTCCAGAAGAAAACATATCTCAGAAACTGTTACCTGCCTACAGAGGACCCTGACAAGTATTGGATGTGATAGGAGATGTGGATGGACCCTCCTATGTTATTGAGATACCTCCACACTTGCATACCTACCCGATGTTTCACGCGTCAAAGCTCCTACCTTGCGTAACTAACGAACTATTTCCCAGTCGAAGGTCAGCAATTCATCAAAGCATGGATGGAAAATTTGATGTTGATAAGATTGTTGCTGAAAGTACTATCCAGACTGGACGCAGAGGTAGACCTCAGCGGCAATATAAAGTCAGATTTGCATATCAAGATCCAAGTGAAGACCGCTGGTTTACTAGGGAAGAGCTAATTGAAACTGCACCGAACATAGTATCTTACTATGAAAGAGCAAGAAGAGGTCTCAGTATTGTGGACAGATATAGTATCTTACTATGAAAGAGCAAGAAGAGGTCTCAGTATTGTGGACAGATAAGTGTTTCTCAGAGGACTTCGAAATTAGGCCGGCGAGAGTAAAAGGGCCTTTACGAATCAGACCCTAGATGAGTACCCCAACAGCAAGGGGCCCTGTCGGCCAGAACTAAATTCACGAGCAGCAATTCAAAAGACAAAGTTCCCTGAGGCATATGTCGCATCCATAATGAAATGAAAAGTCGTTTCGAACAGTCACAAACAGGTCCTGCACGAACAGGTATCGGACACAGTTTTCAAGACTGAGTTAGGGACATGTCTCCTCGTTGAAAAGTCATGCCTGTTCGGCAATGAGTCAAAGGCTAGAGTCCCAGTCCAATCATAATCCCACGAGTCAGTCCTGATTCAGACTGGGAGTCCAACAGACAGGCCCAATGGCCCAAAGCAGCAGCAGACCATGGGAAAATATATTGGGACACACACTTTGCAGCAATCGGTACTGGGCAGGAGTCCCAGGCACCTTTGAGGCTGAATGCAGGCCACGCCAGACCAGTCCAGCACTATAAAGGACTGGCCAGCCTCCCATTCGGGCAGATGCTCACTTCGCATGAGTGTGGAAGTGCCGTGGGACTTGTGCTGGATGTGTGTGAGCTGCGCTAGGCTGAAGAGCAGCGCTATGTGAGAAGGAAGGGAGAATGCTGGCTAGAGGGAAGGCAGCCATCGCTGCGCCAGAGGCAGTTAGTATGTTAGTAGAGATAGTAAGTAGGAGATACCAGTGAGTAGTATTCAGAGTAGATCCTCGTGTGATAGGGAGTCTGCATGTGTGATGAGTGACGGTAGACCAGGACTATAGACATGGAGAGAGAGAAGAAGGCAGACGAGAGAGGGGGAAGTGTGAGTTATGGTGACACTTACCTGTTGAGCGCTGTTGTTGATAATTGGCAGCTGGCGCTGATGAGCGCCAGGTTTGGAATTCATGTTGATTGGAGAAGACTTGTAACTCTGTTTGGCGCTGTACATTTGGACTCCCGATGTTCCCTCGCTAATCTGGTTTGATTAATTAAGTTGAGCTCCTGGTTCTCATTCATCTCCTATTGGGCTTTGTGTGAGACATCGCAATTTGGGAAATCTGTGTGAATGTAAAGAGAGAGAGAGAGAGAGAGAGAGAGAGAGAGAGAGGAATTCTCCTGCACGGGTTTAGAGTGTGGGCATCCGTGGGAGATTGGCGCTCAGATTTACACGTGCAATGGAAATGGGGAGCAGAACTTGCCCGTCCTCCTGCCCCCTAAAAGTCATCATCCAGCTTTTTCACATTCAACCTTTCTGAGGGCATGACAGGTGATGGACTCCGTGCGTGTGTGACGTTTGTGAGAGGGGAATTCTCCTGCACGGGTTTAGAGCGTGGCATCAGTGGGAGATTGGCGCTCAGAATTATACACGCAAGGGAAATGGGATGCAGAACTTATCTGCAGCAAAGAAAACTTGGCTTTGATGCTCTCTCTCTCTCTCTCTCTCTCTCTCTCTCTCTCTCTCTCTCTCTCTGTGTGTGTGTGTGTGTGTGTGTGTGTGTGTGTGTGTGTTTGTGTGTGTGTGCCACGGTCTGCACTCTCCAGTCTCTGTTAGTCTGTCCCGTCCTAATCAGAACGCCCAGTGGGTGAATCTGCTCGGCTGTCTTCTTTTTGGTCGTGTATCTGCCGCCTCAGTCTGACGCACACACAGACAACTGACTTTGTTTGTCTTTTAGTTTACTCAGTCCATGTCATCGTGTTCACTGAACACAACGCCAAAGAGCACTACTGTACACACTGCCGTTGATGCATTTCACTGATAGATAAGGAGTTGCCACATTACCCAGAAGTAGCACATAGACTTTGTATCAATGAGCCCTGCATGAATTTGGTCATGTGACTGGCAGAACCGACTCTGCTTGTCCGTATTTCACTGTGTTTTTGAGTTTATGTCTGTCTGTGTGTGTTTGTATGTATGCGCACATTGATAAGATGAAGCGGCTAATGGGAGTTGCTGACTTTCGTATTATCACAAACCGTTCAGAATCTCGTGAAAGAGCGTCCCATTGTCATTAGTAGATGCATTTATCTCCTCTAGTTCTTTTTTCTTGGTTGGCTGCCTGATGTGCACCTTAGCATTTCTTTCTGCGCCCACATGATTCATCCGCTTGTGCGCTCTGCTCTATCCTCGCCATCGCCCCTCGCTCTCTACCCTCCTCTGCCCCCGAGCATATTCTCCAGGCGTGCAAGAAGTATTGTTAGCTCTCTCTCTCTCTCTCTCTCTCTCTCTCTCTCTCTCTCTCTCTCTCACACACACACACACACACACACACACACACACACACACTGCTCTCACAAGCAAACGGATAAAGAAATCACGCACCATTCGCCAAAACCCTCCGCATAAGACACGAGTCATTGATTTCTGCAAGCAATGAATATGCCCAGCGGAATAAAACTGAAAAACTACAGAAGGATGATCAAGAACAAGAACAACAGAGAACCAGCACTCTCTCTCTCTCTCTCTCTCTCTCTCACACACACACACACACACGCACACACACACACCGCGGCATAGGACTTGAATCTAGCAGAAGTACGGAACTTAGTTTTTCTCACAACCTTCGATTTATTCAACCGGGACTTAGTTTTTCTCACAACCTTCGATTTATTCAACAACCGCTACAACATTTCAGCTCCTTGTCAGTATCCCTCACATCAGTAATCTCACAGCCTTCGATTTATTCAACAACCGCTACAACATTTCAGCTCCTTGTCAGTATCCCTCACATCGGTAATCTATTCGATCGATACAACATTTCATTTATTCAACCATTAAGTCGTGAGGGTCATAAAACCATCTGCGTCCGGAATAGGCAGGGCCACGCCAGGTTGGCCACCATAAATTTCTGTAGCGGTATGGTAATCTACGATCTACCATGGATAAACAATGATATGGTGCAACCTCCTGGAATAAGTGAAGTAAACGTGAAATGGAGAAGTGGTTGGTTTAACAAAGTGGTCTGGCAGCTCGAGAACAAATCCAATCGGTTTGCCTACCGTACTTCACAAGAAATACGTTCCTTTTTGAAAAAAGACTGCCTCAATAAGTGAATAAAAGAGTAACTGCCCTAGAAACCCCGAAGGTGTAATCTCATCCGGCTGTCACTGCGTTATGTGCTTCGCATTAGTTTTTCAGATATCCCTGGATTTTATTTTTGACCTCGTTCCCCTTCTTTCACACAACCTCGCTGCATTGTAAGAACAGGCAACCATATTTAGGACCCTGCGAAAAAATGACACACTTAAGTCAAAGACTACGGTAGTCCAAGTTGTATCAAAAAACAAACAACAAAAACTCCACTCTATACCCTCGCACCGAATTCCTTGCCCTAGTCCACTTGTGCTGTACTTGCGAAAAGGAAAGCAAATGAGAAAAGAAGACACGGAATGTACAAGGAGAGAGGAAAAGATCGGTGCAAACCAGACGAGGGAAGTAACGCGAGGAAAACAACAGAACTCAAGACAGGTTATGCTTCGGGGCGAAGGGCTTCGTGGCGAGGGGCTGCCTTCTGACAACCCTGACCCAAAGATACAGGGACAGGCAGCGAGAAACACAGAGACATGGAGAGAGTTTAGTGATACTCGCTGAGGAAGTGGGGGGATAAAGGCGAGATGACGTGTGAAAGGTGACATGGGGAGGGACTGAGAGAGAAGCAAGTGCAAGAGCAAGAGAGGGAATTAGAGAGACAGGCAGAGATTGAAGGAAAGCAATCCACAAGAGAACGGGAAAAGAGCGCCCTCGAAGGGAAGACCGAAAGGAATGTCTTATGCCCTCACCTGATGCAGCAGTTTTCTGTGTGTATCTGCTAGAGACACGTTCTCCCACAGCGATGAATCCCGCCCCGTGCTCCGGTCCAGACACACTCCCTGATCTACGCAGAGTCTGGTCTGCAGCCGTCCGGGTGCCTTCGTTACCGGCCCATTCCGGTCGTAAGCGGAATCTCCTCCTCCAGCACTTCGCTCCACTGTCTCTTCTTGCCCTCCGTCCCAAGTCTTGCCTTTACAACAGGACGAACGTACATCACCCCTTCCCCCACTTCCCAATCCTTCGCCCTCTTCTGCCATCATCAATGCCCGCCTGAATCTCATTTGCTGTGACACACCTTTCACCCATGGCAACGACTCCAGCTTGACTCTGACCCTCTGCAAGTGGCTGTCCGATATCTCCAACAGTCCAAAATCCGTAGGATACGCTGAAGCCGGGTTCTCTCTGTGTATCCAACGCCATGTGTCTTTCGGAACCTCCGTCGCCAAAGCGCCTTCAAGAGATTGTTTGTGAACTGCCGCGTGCTTGTACTCCGTGAACCTAATGATCCATTCGCGGGAAACAGTCTCCTTCGTCATTTCCGCCTCTGCGCGCTGTTGTTGCGCATCTCTTTCATCCTTCTCATCAGCTGTACCGACTTCGCCTTCTATTTGTGCTGCTAGTGCTGCTGCTTCAGAGTCCATAACCACCGCTGCCTGCTGTGTTTCGTGTACCCCCAACTGGCCATAGCTATCCACTTGGGCCAAGCTTACAGACGTTCTCGAAGGAACCCGCCCAACAGCAAGTCCTTCACATGTGCGCTCGCGGAAAATGATTTCCACTCCCTCGCTTCCTAAAGCCATGTCAGCGACTCCGCCCAAATCCTCACCTCTGTCTCCTTTCCTCTTCCTTACCACATTATGTTGCCCTCGACATCCCGCTCCTCCACCGCATGTCCAAATCGGCCGCGTTTCAGACATGCCTGCACACCTGCGTTCGCCAGACTCAACTCTCCGTCGCATCCTCGTGCTCCACCTCTTGCGATTGGCCCCTTCCCTCTGCGACTCTAGTTCGCTGGAGAACCACCCGTCTTTGCTAATCGACGAAGATCCGAGCCGTGCTGTTTCCGGACTCGACACGTCAGCTGTCAGCCACCCAGCAACAAAGCTGGACGTAGAAGACAGCTTCGCCTTCCTCTCTTCCACCCTGCATCTTCCATCGCCGACGCGATCGCCAAGAAACTGCAGTGATCGCCCTCGGCATGCTGTAAAACCAGTGAGAGAAGATGGAGCTGATCCAGGGATGCGCCAGCCCCAGACGTTGCACGTGAACGCTTCTCCCCAAATGTCGCACACAGTGACAATCCACGTCACACAGAACAAGCGAGAGGCCAGCGCCATCCATAACCCCACAGCAGTAAAACACCCGGTCGCCCATCCACTTTGAACTACCGACCAGCGTGACAGGCGGCCGAGAGGTCGCGTGGCCTTACCCATGTTCGATTCGACCACTCTACTGCCACCCAGAATGAACTTGTTACGTGGCACCCAGAGAGCCGCCGATCGCCACCCTTCGTTCTTCTCTCAGAGAAGCCCACGCATCATCAGCAACAGCATCAGCCTCTGCATCTGCCAATGCAGCTGCACAGCTGCGAAAAGCACGATCCTAAGAACCGCTCACAGGCCAACGATCCCCAAGGCAAAAATACTCTATGACCATGACGACCGTGCCTAGCTGCGCTAACGCTGCTCATATCGGTACGTCAGATCCAATGGGAACATTTCCTTGACTAAGCTAAGCACATAGTCAGCAAAAAATGGACAGCTGAAGAGAGTCGAGCTTATCTCCGATTCCTCGACGGCAACATCCGTCGGCCGGGCGCGTGAGAACTCTCATCGTTAAACGCAAACCTCAATTCAAGAATCGCGTCTCCGAAGGACGGAACCACAGAAAGGAGCTGCGACAAAAAGGGGGCCAATCGATCGACAAGGAGTGGCGGCACTGAGAACAGGGCGGTTGGGAAGGAGGCGAGGAAGGGCGCTCGGAGGTGGCCACACGGGCGGAAAGAAAAGAAGAGCCAGCTTACAGAAAAGAAACAACAGGGGAAGAGGAGGCGCTGCAATGCGAGGATGGATCAAGCGATCGATCAGCGGGACACCGGAGAGAACGGGAAAGGCGAGCGAGATGTAGGTACGAACGGGAACCAACCGTACTAGCTAGATGAATTGGATCTTCTCTCAACCCCTCGTCGTGTATAAGCCGCTCCTCACGGGGAATCCAATTTCGGCACCGGCTATGGTTAATTACTCTGTTGGTAGATTGCATGCTTCCCGTCTGTCAGCGCAAGGAAGACTTTGCCTCCGCAGTCACAGCATGATCCGCCACGTTCTTCCTCTCCCCCCGGTCGCACCGATCATCACGGGAATAGTAACTCCACCCTCCCTTCGTCCTTCCTAAACAGTGATCAACGAACGCGGACTCTTGACATACCAACCGCCCTTACTCTGCTGCACCCGGATACAGGTCCAGCACAGCCCAACGTCAGGTCCCAGACCATACGAGCACATCGATCGCAACGTGGCCTTCCCGGGCACCGCTCTAAAGCCTCTGATCCACGGTTAACCTCCACGAACGCTCCATTGATTGCCGTCGATCTTGGATTGCACGCCAATCGCACGCACATCCTACTCGTCATCACCCGAGCTCGATTTCACACGACATGCTTCCGATAAATTTTACTCGAGCAAAAACGCACAAGAAAGCAAAATTTCAGACTGGCGGAACCTCCTCTTCGGTTCCATGCTAAGGATCTTTCAAATTTCACCCAATCCTCACGGCGTCCGCGCCCCACCCTCCTCGCCCTCGTTGACTTACACTGCTCCCAAAACCCAATCAGCAGGAGCCGTTCTTGCCTGCTCCAGAGCCGAGCGATCAATAATAATCAGTAAAATAAACAATTAAAGACACCCCTCAAAGCCACCGTGGGTTACAAAAAAAAGAAAAATCCACCGTTCCAGTCGCCACGAGCAAGATGACAGAAAAAAACGAGCTCTATATAACAGCATAAAGAACTCTTGATTGCCTGCGGTGAGGTCACGGTTACCTCTCCCCGCGTTGTCTACCCCTCCCGCCGACTGACCGTCTGTCATTCCCGGCACAGATCAGGAGAGGGCTAACCACACTGTGAGAGAATGAGAGCGAGTCAGAGAATACGTCTGTCATTCCTCCTTAGAATCATCGACTCCAATTGCGCCTCCAGCTCCACACGTTGACACCAACAAAAAGGTGAAATCCAGAAATCCGAATTATCGTAATCCGGAAAGAGACGTACAAATCGTTCCGCCTTACCATCATCACCTGCAATCACAACGCAAGCGCAACGCGTCGCCGCCGACGAACATGAGAGATCGAGAAGTCCTAACATCCTAAAACCCGGATTCCACGGATGAGAAGAAAGCACGGATGTGGGTGGAAGACGAGAAGGCGGAGAGTAGGATTTCGAAAAGCACGGATGTTGTTCTCTGTCCTCTGCTGTACTAATAGCTGGTGGAAGAAATACCCAGCGATTGACCAGGGAAGCTTAGCCATCGTGAGAACAAGTCTTTTCAAACAATACCCCATTTTACAGCCGCCGTGAGACGACTACTACCGCCTTCCCCCGAGCATAACGCATATGCGTTGTATTCCGGTTTACGGAAAATTAGACCCTTTTCTTTGAATACAAGGGCACTTCGAATAATATGCATACGCGTTATATTTGAATTTCACGAGAGAAAATTGTTGTATTGGAATATAACAATCCTCTCCCCCCCCCCCCCCCCC